GTTTTTATTTTCAGCCTGAAGATTTATGTATTGTATTTTCAAAAAACAAAAACAGATTAATTAAGTTGTGGTTTCAGTTGAAGTTTTGATTTCTAAATGTAGGTGCTGTTGGGCAACTCCTGGCATTATTGAGATGGATAAGGTGGGCAGATGAAACACCACGGGCAAGGTCAGTGCCTTCTAGCTCCCCTGCAATGGAATGGCTCTCTGACTCACATTCATTGTGGCAGGTCACCTTTGAAGCAGGGCCCTTCACAAACGGCCTTGTGCATAACAGCCCTTTATGGCATTAACTGGGGGTAGCCAAGCAGTGGGTGATTTTTATGGACCATATGTCCTATAGTACTGCAGGACAAGATAAAGGAAAACAAGCCTGGATACTGGAAAGCTTGCAAGTAAAGTCTCAGCCTGTGCTGCTGCTGCTGGCATACTTCTTGCTTTGGCAAATATTGCGTAGCAGGAAAGAGAATAGGTTTTGACGATGTTTACATTTTGATCTGTATTTCTTACATGAGCTGCTAGAGAAAATGCTTGTAATTTTGTTTGTTTTGAAAATGAAATTCCTATAGAAAGGTCATTGTAATGTCAGCTCCTGTCATTTCTGACCCTCTTATCCCAGAGCTCATCTGCACTTGTCAGGTTGACTCAGTACTGTAACCATAAAAGGCAAAGAATGTTGCAAGCCCTTCTCCCTGCAGTGAATTGTCTTAGTGTTCTGTGATGGTCTTAGTTCACAGTGTCAGCTGGACCCAGGAGAAGCAGAGGGCTGTAGCAGACAACATTTTCTCTTGCAGGCTTTGTGGGTGAAATTCCTGAGCTTTTAAAAGTTATTACTATTACTATTATTATTATTATTTTATTCAGTATTCCTGACTATTCTAGAAATACAAATCTTGGACATTATCTCAGAATTGCACATTGTCCTCACCCCTCTCTAACATTTTAAACATTTTTGGGCAGTCATGGAAATCCAGGCAGTTTATCACAGGTTCCTGCTGCTCCCCTCCTACCCCTCTGAGGAGCCAGTCTGATAACGACTCTTACCTAATCCCTGCTCCTACTCCCAGCCTCTCTGGTGAGGTAGGGTTTCCTATGGAAGGTGCTGCATCTCAAAGACCCCTCTCGGGTTTATCTTGTCTTCTCTGGCTGAAGATTGTCATGGATGGAAGGTGGTGTCTGAGACAGCAAGGTTTGAGAAACCCCTGGGCAGGAGCACAGCAGCCTATCTGGCTGGTGTAGATGGTGCAGCTGTGTAGACCTGGAGCTACACAGGCTTGGGCCTGGATTGCTTGCAAGTATAAGGAAGTTTAAACAAGGACACACAACCTCCTTGTCACATCATTCCTCTGCCTAAGTGATACTTTATATGTTAAAGAGATTTTTGAGCTAACATCGTGATATAGCAGGTAAAGCCACCACCTGCAAAGCCGACATCCAGTGGGTGCCCATTTGAGTCCCAGCTAGTCCACTTTCAATCTAGTTCTCTTGTTAATGAGCCTGGGAGTGCAGCAGAGGGTGGTCCAATTCCTTGGGCCCCTGACACTCCAAGATATCAGAGTTGTCTCCTGGCTTTCATCTGGCCTGGCCCAGCATATCCATTGTGGTTGTTTGGGAGTTGAACTAGAGGATGGAAGGTCTCTCCCTCTGTGTTGTGTTGTTTTGTTTTGTTTTGGAGTGAAAGCCTGATTGTGGAATACAGAACATTAAATGAGTGCCGAGACTGAGTGGACCTCATCGCTCATGGCACTGAGGTTGGTTTCAGTGGTGTTGGGGAAGGAAGTGGAGAGCTGCTCAGGGTGCAGTTTGAAACCTTCTAACCAAGCTTGTGTAACACACTTTGTTGGAAGTAGCCTGGGAGGTTGTGGAGAGAGGTTCTTGGATTTCTTGAGAAGTACTCACTCAGCTGTCCAGAACCTAAAATAGTGACCTGGAAAGGAAGGAAAAGAGGGAGTGTTGTAATCCACTGAGGCTAGGTGGGAAGGCAAGTAAAAGGCCAAAGGGGTATTTGGGAGACAGTTTTCTTAGAATTCACCCTGAATTTCTTGTTGGTCCATGGCTGCATTAACAAATGACTGTTCGGAAGACCTGCCTGTCTCAGGAAGGAAGGGGTCGGAGATCACAGAGTTGTCAGTACCACTGAGTCTCTTCACAAGTGATGCTGGCGTCAGCTTGACCACCTCCGGGCTTGCTGTGAACTCTGCGCTGTTCCTCTCCCTAGAATGTTAAGCAATCGCTGAACTTTTCCAGTTAGATGGCGACCTGTTTTACGTTTTAAAAGCAACCTCTGGGGCCGATGTTATTGCATTGACAGGTAAAGCCATTGCCCGTGATGGCAGCATCACACATGAGTGCCAGTTTGAGACCCAGCTGTTCTGCTTCTGATCCAGATCCTGATAATACACCCGGGAAAGCAGTGGGAGATGGCCCATGTGAGAGGTCCTGAAGAATCAGCCTCTGCTTGCAAAATGAGAATTCAGTCATTGAGCCGTTGCACCATGCCCGTCAGATAAATAAATCTTTAAAAAGGAAAGAAAGAAACTATCCCCATGGATATTCAGAGTATATGCCCGGACTTCCTTGGTAATTTATATTAAACCTAGATGTCATTCTTTTTGCAAGCCTAAGTGTCTTTTAATCATTTTCAGGGATAACCCCACTCTCACCCTTTTTCTAGCAATGCCTTCCTGCTAAGTCCCATGCACTTCTCTGAATATAGCCACCTCTGTGCAGAGTCACCTATGCGGGGAGAAGCAGGAGCCATCTGCTTTCACAGCAACCTGGGGCAAACACAAGCAGGTTCAGAAGGCAAAATGGCTTTCCTTTCATCTGATGCAGCCTCTGTGGTGGTGTAAGGTCAGCCTAAACTTGAGGAGACTGCCCCCCAACAATGACGTACCTCCCTCCAAACGGGAGCAGATGGGACTTCCACACAATCACGTAGGTTGAGGGATTGTCTAATCCAGTCAGCATCTTTCTGTTTAACCTCTGTGTGACTTAGGAGCCCTGAATTCAGAGCCAGCTGACACAGGCAAACTTGGTGATGTCCAGGCTGTTCTTGGGGCACACCATCCACTGTGGTTATCTGTAGTTACTAGGGCAGGAGAACAGTGTGGTAAGGCTGAGGAGGTGGGAGTGGTTCCAAGTAGAGGTGGCTTTCATTTGTCCACTTTCGTCAGAGGATTTGTGGGGTGTGGGGCAAGGGATTGTTGTAATATACCTACTTTACCTTTTATCTGTTTAGCATTCAAGGGAAGCTTGTTGAATGAATCCATGTCAGGAAATAGATTATTGGTCTTCATGCTTTGCATTAATTTCCCTTGAAGTCTATATAAGCAGAGAAGGAAAATGCTTGTGTGGGAAGAGGAACCTTGACCTTGCAAATCCTCAGCGCAGAAAACATTTACAGTGTCAAGAACAAAGAATAACTTGATCCAAGTGCAGATTTCAGGAAGATTACTTAATCTTATGTGTTTGCGTGTCTCATTAAATCTTACATACTGTTAATCACTTGGTGGGTGTGGTAGGTGCTGGCTGAAGCCAGTGCGCCTGGTCCTTGCTTTTGGGAAATTGGGGAAGGGGAGATGATTAATAATTTACCTAATTCGTGTTTTATCTTTGATTGGTGGTAAGTGTTAAAAGGGAAGCAAAGGGAGAAATGGAGTGTTTTCTCTGCCATGTCTCCTCAGTGCCTGCAGGAGGGATGGAAAACACTGCCTGCGGCGTGTCAGGGATAGCCTTGCCTGACCCTTGCTTGACCTGTTCCCTGCTTTATTCTTCCCATGAGTTCTTAAACTTTGATCCTCAAACTCTTAGTCTCCACAAGTATGCATAAGGCATTTGGAATCAAGGAATTTTGAGCTTGAGGGAAAAAAATCTTACAAGTGTGGCCCAGATCTTCCACTTTTAGATAAGGAAGGGAGGAAGCCGGTCCATGGTCTTACAGCAAGTTAAAGGCAGAGCCAGAACACACATTCCTGCAAGAGAGGTGTAACTTTGTGAACTCCTTATCCTTGCAGAAATACTGAAAGGAACAAAAATAATTTTGAGGGAGTTTGTAAGCACCAACCTCCACATAGCCCAGGGTTACTTTCTGTACAGATTTATCAGGAATACCTGGCACTGGGAGCTGGACAAAGGGATTCGTACTCTGGATATGGAAGTAAAATATGTATGGAGAGAGCGTGGCACAGCCTTCTAGGGGTTCAAGTGCATGCCCTGTGGGAGGTTGACCTATGTAGCACGGGAAGAGGAACCAGTCTCCTAGCAGGTTGGAATGTGGCAGGTGGCCAGGGAAGGGAGATTGAATTTTGCTAGGACTGGGGCTTGAAGGTTCCTGACCCAATGACTGAGCCAGACCTGTTCAGAGTTAGGAAGTTAAGAAAAATGCAATAGCCAGTGGCTGATGTTAGCAGTCCCTGAGCCGAGGCCACCAGACTTTCCCTCTCGGATCAGTGGGTTAATGAAAGTTAGCTTTTGGAGGGTGAGGCCAAGTGAGTGGCATGTTGTGGAGGCCTCAGCAATGACCCACGGATGTCAGGTAGTCCTACACGCAGCTAGTCATGGCAGTAGGGTTCTTGGGCCTTCTGTAGTTTTTGTTCAGATGATAAACCTGGGTGAACCTTAAAGCTTTTACACAGCAAGTTCAGCTATGTAGTGGTTTTTCTAGCCATATCTAGAACACCTCAGAATAATTGAAGCTTGGGCATCTATATTCTTTTACAAGACATTTTAAAATTGTCAGGAACCCACTAGAAGAGAAGATAAATGTTGAATATCACTAGTTTTTTATATCCAGATCTCAAGGTCTAAGTTGAATGCCATTTAATTTACTGTTGGCTGATGTGCCCTTCTTTGATACCAAGCCTGGAAGGAAGCTCAGCATTGTGGGGTCATGGAGCTGGTGCAATGTGGGGAGAAGTGGGTAAGGGGGAAGAGCCTGTGGGCTGTGCACCTGCCACAGAGCGAAGACTGACTCTGCTTTGTTCTCTTTGTCACCTTAGGAATATAAGCAGAAGCTTGCACGCGTCACTCAGGTCCGTAAGGAGCTGAAGTCCCACATTCAGAGCTTGCCAGACCTCTCTCTGCTGCCCAATGTCACGGGGGGCTTGGCCCCCCTGCCCTCTGCTGGTGACCTGTTTTCAACTGACTAGGACAGGTATTGTGCCTCAGATTCCCAACTCTACCAGCAGACAGAAGAGTGCACGTCGTGGTTGGAAAGAACCCGCTGGCCCCTGCTTCTGTTCCTCCACCTGCCCTCCCACTTCAAGAAAGAGCTAAGTGACTCTGACCTTCCTCTGCAGCCACTTGTCTTGAGCAAGTTTGGACCGAGGCGAGTGGACACAGTTGAGATTCAAGTTTGAGAAAATACAGACTCTTCTCCTGCTGCATGTTTTTAGGCCCCTGCTGGTTCTCCTTTTGTAGCGCACGTACGCACTCTACACCCAAGATGTTATGAAAATCATGTGTATTTCAGGAAGCTTTCAAAAGAATCTTGTCCCTCACAACAGCATTTTATCATGAAAGCGGATTTCCATTCTGAGCTGGGCTTGTTCACGTTGTTGCAGCTTTTCCCCTGAGCGACTCATTTAGAGACATTGGCTTTCCTGTCTGGCACCTGTCCCCTAAAGTTGGAGACACAACTGTTAGCCAGCATTGCCATAGAGTTTGTTAAATCTCTGTCCCTCCTTCACCATTGCTTCTGTTGATTCATAGTCAAAGGTTAGGTGCATATTGCTTTTTAAGCAGACTCAAGAATCTAGCAGTAAGATTCAAAGCTGATTTGGGACAGAAAGTCACAATTCAGAGACAGTAACAGGGATCAGAAGTCTAAGTTTAAATTATTGGCTTGGTTCCCAAAAACACCATTCCCAGGCTGCACTTCTCAATGGGGGTACAATATGTTCCTACAAGGATCTTTTGACCCCCATTGGTGGTGAAAGTAGCTGTGAGGAACGGCATGGTATTCCCTCTGGAGCCCAAGAGAAAGGCCGACTGTGGTACCTTGATGCTTTCTTTCGGAAGTAGCCCCATGCCAGACTTGTCTTCTGTTGCCTGGATGGTGTTATTTGATGCCTAAACTTGAGCACCTCTCTGCACCTGCAGCTGGGACACCGGGTGTTTGTCAGTTCCTGCCACTGCAGGACTCCCTGCTTGTCCAAGTCCTTGCATCAGATATTACAGAATAACTCCTGGGCAGGGGCACTGGAGGTTAGGATTGGTTTGGGATTTTGATTCCATTATCATGCCAGCTGACATTATGACTATGATATAGTTAGGATTTTCATCTCACTTAGAGTAATGGCTAGGCCTGTTAAATGTTGATCGCTTTAATTTGGCAGGCTTGCTTTTGACCTCGGGAAGGGCAGAAAACAGTTTGCCCCAGTGGTGTCATAGGAATTATAGGCTAGAGGCCAAAATCCAGAAGCTCTTAAAAGGAGTTCCCCAGAGACTTTGAGTTTTCAGAATCACCAAAACTGACATGATTTTACATGTTAAAGCAGAAGTTTTCAGGAGTATAGCAGGCTGCCCTGCACCCAGCTCTCCTGCCTTCCTTAGGGTGAAACAAAGGGAGCTCGCTGCAGGGGGGTCACTGTCTCACTGGTGAAGCTGATTTTCTGGTTTGAATAGACTGTGTTGCTTATTGACACTGTTTATGTCTGTGTCACTATTAAATTAGTGAGTCCATGGTAATGAAGTGTCTGCCAGGAGCTACAGGACAGTTCGTGACTTTACCAAAACTGCAAGGTAAAGTTTAATCTTTGCCATGTCTGCTGCCTGCGCTGCTCTGTGTACTGTCCTGCATCTCAGAGCTTCTCTGTAGACTCACTGTGCTTTGCTGAGTCGCAAACCAGCCAAAAGGCTATGGAGGAAGTGATCTAGCTCGGGTCAGCTAGATGGCAGTGCTGTGAGAACGTAATGGATTTAACTTGCTGCTACATTTGATCCAACTGTCTGACCAGCAATTGGTGCATAATTATTACAGAAAAGCAAGAAATGAAAACTGTAGCAATTATGTAAATGAATGTGTTGGCCTCTTAACACCTGTTACCAGTAGACTTCCTGTGGGGAAGCTAGTTTTGTTTTAATGAAATGCTTTTGTTTTTTAACTCTCAGTTCTCCTGGCAGGGCTTTGCTTCACCATTTAATTTAAATGAACCTTTCTCCTTGTCTGTCAAGGTGATCTGGTGGGATGGGGTGGGCTGCTTTGTTTTTGTGGGATTTTGTTTTTGCTTTCCATCTTAGAGCATCAGTAGGCCTCAAAGGACCTCTTTCTTTTGGGTCATATTCCTCAGAAAGTCTTGGATCTTTTTTTTGTTTTGTTTTGTTTTTCTTAAAGAATATTTTTAAAACTTAAATTTGTATATTAATTTAGGACTTTATTTAGAAGTATAGGCTGTCGTTGGTGGCAGCGGTATATTCTGAAATGTCTCATAGATATATATTTTTGAATAAAGATGGTGTTGTTGAACAGCGTGGTGTGGTGCTTCTTTGTCCTGCCCTGTCAGGAAAGGCACACTGCTTTCCTGATGAGCAATGGGTGACGAGTGATCAATGGTGGAGAATGTGCTGTCGACACAGAATCTTGCCCCATAGGAGTTTCGTGACTGTTAGTGGCACGTAAATACTCAGTACTAACATAGTATTTTCTGGTTCTTTCCAGGGGCTTAATTAGCTGTACTTAGCCAATCCTCACAGTCCTCAGGAGAGCTGCTCCCCCAGCCTTCCCCTTGTTGTGCAGCAGTGGGAAATGATGGAGAGAGGCTAGATGACTTCCCCGGTCCCTCACGGCCGTCTCTGATGGGTTACAGCATGGGGCTGCTTTGATTTCAGCGCTCTGTTCTCACCCCTGAGCCTCTTGAGAGTTCTTTGATTTTGGCAATAGAGAGAAAGCCACTTTGAAAGAAGAAAACCACGAGGTAACTGGAAACCCAAGTGGCCTTTTTAAAAAACAATTTCTTTCTTTCTTTTTTTTTTTATTGGAAAGTCTGATATGCAGAGAAGAGGAGAGACAGAAAGGAAGAACTTCCACCCTACGAATCACCCCCCAAGCAACCGCAACGGCTGGTGCTGTGCTGATCCGAAGCCAGGAGCCAGGAACTTCCTCCAGTTCTCCCACATGGGTGCAGGGTTCCAAGGCTTTGGGCCATCTTCGACTGCTTTCCCAGGCCACAAGCAGGGAGCTGGATAGGAAGTGGAGCTGCCAGGATTAGAACCAGCGCTCATATGCGATCCCAGCATTTTCAAGGCAAGGACTTTAGCCAGTAGGCCACGCCGCACTGGGTCCTCAAAACAATTTTGAGGCTTTCTTTTCCCCTTTTCACTTTCACCCTCAGTGAAAGCCTATTGATGGAGTGTTACTGGTTAACACTCAAAATAATAGAAAAAAACAATTTGCAGCAGGTTTTCTGAAACTGTTACTGTTTGGAAGGAATACGGTCATTTCCCCTGGTGAGGAAAGTGTTTGCAAGAAACAGGGTTGTCTTTATCTAAGACACAAAACCCCAGAGGCTGTGGGTCCTCCCAGACCCATGGTGACCAACAGTACCTCGAACTCTGGTCTTAGGAATCAGCACTGTGCATTACTGGGTTCTGTCTTACAGGATGTAAGATATGAATTTGTGTCCCTGGGCCACATGGCCTAGTTAATTTCTTTTCTCCTACCTATAAATAGTCCATCATTCCTCCGGTTTAATTAGCACTCCAGGCTACCAAATGACTCTCAGGTCCTCCGAGGTGAAGACAGAGCTGCCCGAGAGTTCATGAATCTGTCAGAATGCTTCGCTTTGGTGATGGGAGCCATTAACTCACCGACCTTCCTGATCAAGGCGCTTCCCTCCCTGAGCCTTAGGTTTCTTATCTACGAAATGTGGTATTGGACAAGACTGTGGTTGGGCTCGCTGCCAGCTCTGAAAGCTGAGGGAGAGAATGCGGGATGGCCTACCCTGTGTTCCCAGTGGCTTTTGTCAGGTGAATGTGTAGTATCACTATTGTGCTATCTTCACACAAAACACTGAAGTTGTGGCCTGTGAGGATCAGGCCACAAGTCATTGTCAAGGCTAAGCAGACCCTTAGGGGTAGACACAGGGCTTTCCCTGGGTGCTGACCATGGGTGTTTGTTTTACCTGAGGTTTTGAAGAAAAAAGCATTTTCTGGTCAGATTTTGCCACCTGACTTTCTCCAAGAATAATTCATCTGGCCAAGGTCATTTCTGATCACCTCTATGAGGTTTTCCATTTAGAAGTCATTCTTCCGCTCTGAGGCACATATTTAATTAAGAATGCATTTTATTGTACAATAGGTTGGGATTCTTACAGCTTTTTGTAGTGTTAAAAGCAGCGTTTGTTCAGGTTTTTAGACTCGTGACAGTTATTTTGTAGTAGGCATTCATTTCTACCGCCAGTTTGGCACATTAGAATGGGTTAATTTCTGTAATAATTCTTGGGGAGAAGCAGCAACTGTGGCCGGTGATAAGTTATGGCTTCTCATCTCTCACTGTGCTGGCCTTGTGCAAATGAACTTGGCCTCTCACCACCTCGGCTCCCCAGATCTCAAATTCCCACTAAGAATCTGTACTTAAGAAGCAATGGAGGACGGCCTAAGTCCTTGGGACCCTTCACCCACAGCTGGGAGGCCTGGAGGAAACTGCTGTGCCTGGCTTTGGATGGGCTTGGCTCCAGCTATTGCGGCCATCCCCAGCGGATGGAAAATCGCTCGTCTCTCCTCTGTAAAATAAAAATGAATATTTTTTAATGGTTATTATTTTAAAGGAAAAAAGAATTAGGTAGATAAGTTATAGCGGTTGGAGTTCTCTTCAGAAGTTAGGGGAGGGGCCCGGCGCAGTGGCGCAGTGGTTAAGGTCCTCACCTTACAAGCCCGGGATCCCATATGGGCGCTGGTTCTATCCTGGCAGCCCCGCTTCCCTTCCAGCTCCCTGCCTGTGGCCCGGGAAAGCAGTTGAGGACGGCCCAAAGCTTTGGGACCCTGCACCCATGTGGAAGACCCAAAAGAGGCTCCTGGCTTCGGATCGGCATAGTATCGGCCATTGCGGCCGCCTAGGGAGTGAATCATCGGATGGAAGAGCTTCCTCTCTGTCTCTCCTCTCTGTATATCCGCCTTTCCAATAAAAAATAATAAAAATAAATCTTAAAAAAGAAGAAGTAGTTAGGGGATACAATGACCCCACGTGCTAGAGGGCAGGGACTTCTGGAAGCTAGAGTTCCTCTGGCTACAGCCCCACACGCCACCTCTAGTTGGCAATGGTCTCACATGCTCACATGATTGATGTTAGCATCTTTCATTCTTGGCTCACCAGTTGATTTCCATTTCTTTAAAGGTCGTCTACAGCCTGGAGTTGTTTATTAATCAGATAATCTAAATGTTCCCTCTGAGGACAGGTAAACACTTTTTTAAAATCACAAACTACCTATAGCATGAATTTGCAATTTAACAAGTGTATACTTCTGTGGCACTCAGTCACTCAGTGTGTTAATGATGGGCTATCATCACCACTATCTGGTTCTAGAATGCTTCATCCCCAGACAGACTGTGCAACCTTTAAGCTTCATTGCCGTGATCCCCTATGGCCAACCCCTGCACAGCTGCAAACCTGCTGATCCTGGGTGTTTGGAGTAACTGGAGTGGCTGCCTTCCCTTAGCATAAAATGTGTACAGGGTTGCTTCTGTTTTGCTGCATGTATCAGTCTCATTCCTTTTTATGAATAATCTGTTGTTCAAATGCAGCACCTTTTGTTTATCCATCATTTGATGGGCATGTTGTATCCATCAGCTGTTGTCCCTACTTCTTGGCTGTTAAAGTGCCACTGAACATTCTCATGGAGATTTTGGTTTGAACACCTGTTTTCAGTTCTTTTGGGTAAGAATGGAATTGCTGGTTTGCATGGTGAATATACGTTTAACTTATTCAGGAGCCAACAGATGATTTTCTACAGTGATCATTCCATTTAACGTTCCCACCAGCAATGTATGAAGGTTCCAGTTTCCCCCGAACCTCACTGTAGCAGTAAGGATTCTCTAGAAGGGATGCAAAAGGATATATGTATGTATGTACTAAAAACCTGTATATGTTTGCTCACTTCAGGAGCCTCTTCTGACTTAATTAAACATGCAAGGACTATTTCCAAATAGTATCATGTTTGCAGATACTAAGAGGTAGGACTTCAGTGTGTCTATGGGGGCAGGGAGAGGACACAGT